TTAGTTGTCTTGAGCTGGCTACAACGCACTCACAAACACATAACACACTCACACACACACACGCACACATAACAAGCACTCATAGCACTAGCATCAGTAGCTTGGTTTCGGTGTTACTCACCTTTGGTTCGCTGCGGGAGCGTGGCTTGGCGGTTCAGCCGGCTTCGTTTTTTTCCCCCATGGCTTCCACGCCGCAGAAGCCGATGGATATCAAGCCGCAAGTTGGATGCCGCCAAGCGGCTACTGGGACGCGTTGTCGACCCAGAGCATATTGCAGGAACGCGCTTTTCGTGCTACTTTGCGTGCGGCCCGGGCACCCGGGACTTGTTGGCGGTGGAAGCGTGGCGCGAGCAGCGCCGCGGCGGAGACTTTCGTCAACCAACGCATTGTCAGTGTGACGAGCGCCACGCTGAGCAAGAGGCAGCCCGCCAAAAACAAATTTACGCACTCCACGCGCGGACTGTTCCTTCGATTCGATGGAGAGACCAAAGCGGAGCTGGAGGACCACCACGGCGCTGACGCCTTTCCGCAGAGCGTGCCTACGACGCTGCTCCATCGAGCCCTTTGCTTGAAGAGCGGCCTGGTAGACGTCCGCGTAGCGGTCGTGGATTCTTTGTCTCGTGTCGCGAGCGGCGAGAAGGAGGGCTTCCACAAGCTGGCAGTGCACCAGCCAGGGAAAGCTCGTGGAGAAATCTCGGCTGCTGACGTACTCGCCTGGGGCGATCTGGGTGCGGCTGCGCAGCGTGTGCCCACACACGTCGTCATCGACCTCTGCAACCTGGGCATCTCTCACAACGAGAAGAGCGGCTTCAGCCTGAGATGGCTACGGCAGAGTTGTACTCGAGATGTGCCTGAGAGCTGCCGCGCAGAAATGACAGCCAGCTTGGCCGGCAGAAACCACTGCCGCTCCTTGTCGAGCTACACGCCCAGCGGCACCGACTTCGCCGCTTGCCGCGCGACGCTCGTGTCGCTCCCCATTTGCTCGGCCTTTGTGGCGGCAGAAGATGCGCGCAAGTTTCCGAGGGAGGACGTGTGGGAAGCTCCGCTTTGCACTATCGCTAACGTCGGGAGCCTCATCCGCTGCAAGCACAGATGAGTGGCATTACATGGGCTGCTCTACATGCTTCCGCAAGGCGTGCGACCAGCACATCCCAGATTCTCAGCGAGCCTGTGCTAGCTGTGTGGGATCACACGGCGGCGGTAGACATGAAGATGTTCACTCGCTGCGCGGACGATCTCTTGGGAGCTGCCTTGGCGGTTCAGCCGGGCGCTCCCGTTTAAAGCGTGGAAGCAGCGATGCGAGAAGCGCGACAGCGCAAGTGGCGCGTGCGCTTCACAGTCGCATACGAAGAGGCGTGCTCCGGCAACGCAGACAAGCGCCGCCCGGCGCGCAACTATCTGCAAGTTGCGCACGTGCAAGAGCAGCCTTTGAGCTTCGCGGGCTCGCCGAAGCCTTTGGTTTGCATCGGAGCCGACAACTTCTTGCCTGGCTGTCCACATCTACAGCTGAGCGACGTCGCTCTTGATGATGCTGGCCAAGCCCAGACCACTGGCGGCTTGCGGCTGCAGTGCGCAGAATTTTTAATGCGCGTCACAGACGCAGAGCCCGAGCAGACAAGCCATGAGATAGAGCGCGGCGTCCGCATTGCATTCACTTGTGTAGATGCCCTTGACGAGTCGTCGCGAGCTCGGCTGATGCGGGTTCTCAGCATCAAAGAGAGTCTGCCTGCGGCGAGGTGCGCCCCGGCACGCTTCTGCGCGTGATTGCAAGGCCCCACGTGCACTTTGACGATGACGGCAGCGCTTGCATTCTGCACTGGCAGGTCTTGTTCCACCTCCCCTCTTCACAAGAGGATGCGCAGGCTTTCGCGAAAAGGCGGCTGTGGCAGCTGGAGATTCCCGGCACTGACTTGGTGGAGAATAAACATAAACGCTTAGCCACTGACATCATGGGTATGACGCCGCTGTCAAAGTGCAAAAGAGTCAAGGAAGCTCTGGCATCCCCGAGCTTTAACGCCTGATTAACATCAGCTATTCTCGCGTGCTGGTTCAGGCCGTGGGTGTGGAGTGCTGCGCGAAGCGCGCAGAAAAACAAAGGAGTGAGCCGGTAGCGAGGGATGTGACCACTTTACGGGAAAAGGAAATGGAAGCCATAGCAAAGGGACCCTTTGGTTCTTGTGTGGTGTGGAAAGAGGATTGCAGGTTTAGGAGACTAGGCGGCTTGCAGGAGGCTTGCAGGTTTACGGCTGTAGGAGGCCTTGAAAGAAAGAAAGAAAGAAAAGAAGAAAAGAAAGAAAAGAAAGAAAGAAAGAAAAGAAAGAAAAGAAAGAAAGAAAGAAAAGAAAGAAAGAAAAGAAAGAAAGAAAGAAAGAAAAGAAAGAGAAAGAGAACTATAGTGTTTATATTTTTGAAACTTCCGCCCACCGGCTTCGCCGGCTCTACTTGTATATGTATGGTAGGACCCCCCCCCCCCAATACCAAGGTTTTCCTGCTTTAAAATGTACATGTTGCATGTGTTTTTGTATAGAAAGTCGCTTGTTTGAGGAAAACCTGGAGTTGAGTTGGGGTCCTGCTAAAGATCAGAACACATGTCTTACTACAAGTGCTTGATCATCGTTATGTGTCATTGGATGAATATAGATCACATGGCTGACTGATTTATAATTCATTGTTGGAGTTTAGAAACGTCCAAGTCTGGTTTATAAACTCTTGATCGTTGGGCGGGGGGGGGGGTCCGTGGCAACTCTTGGGGGGGGGGGGGGGGGGGGGGGGGTCTGCGAGCAACTCTTGAGGGGGTGGTTGATAGCCCCCCTCCCCTTCAAGAGTTGCCGGCCCCCCTCCCCCCCTCCCCCTCCCCTTCAAGAGTTGCAAGGCAGGGACCCCCCCCCCTCCCCCTCATCCAACTGCCAGGAGTCCAAGAGTTTAGAGTCTATAAACCAGACTTGGAAGTTTATAAACTAAATTTGCGGGGAATGCTGAGCAAATTGAGACCATTTCAACGCACAATTTCAATCTGTTTAATGAACAGCTACTGGCTCGGGCAAATTCAAGCCTATCCAATTCCCGCGCTAATAACCACAATGGCCTGGTATCTCGAGGGCATCAAAGCGGATCCTGAGCAGATCAATCTAGAATCAGCAGATTTGAGCCTCCGAAATATCAAATGTGAATTCCTTTGCAAATATATAAGATGTTACTTCAAGTTGAATTGACATGTTGAATGGAAATTAGTAAGGCCATAGTTCATGTGAAAATCTATATTCCATTAGAATTTAAAAAAGAACCCCTTTCCAAATCGGAGTTAAAGGCAATTATTCAATTGGCCTCTGAACATCATTTCAAATAGGAGCTCATTCCCAAATGTATTTAGATTAAATGTGGCTTAAACAACAGTGGTATTTGTTTTCATGACGAAACCAGTCCAAGCAGAACTTAGGTTTAAAATAGAGTTTGAAAATGAGCTCCCTTGCAAGCATTGCTTTAATTACACGTCAATTGAAATGTTAAATAAAATCTAGTAAGGACAAGGTTTTGCATTCCGGAGTTTCTGTCTGTTTGGTTCTTTTTGGGTCTGTGCAAGTTCCAGAGCGTTCATCTTCTTCAGGTTCTGTTTTTTGGGCTGAGAAGGGGCGTAGGCCCAGGTTCAAACCCCAGTAAAATGTGACGAAGCGGGTGGCCCACTTTGGCATTTCAGAAATGTTGGTTTGGTTCACACAACCATGAAGGCAGGATTTCACCAAACGTGCTCAAATGAGGTTGGGTCAACATACTTGGTGTAGCAACCATTTGAGAGTCAATTGGACATGGACTTGGGGGTGTTGCTTGGTGCGCAATGTATGGCCAAATGATTGGTACGGTCATCAGCCCCCCTACCGATGGCCTCAGGTTCCTGACTGGCATTTTATGGGGCTCAAGCTGCAAAAAACAGATTTTGCTGCTTTACTACGTGTGTTCGAAACCAGTGTAAACATCAAAGTTTCCAATCAAAACCATGCTTGAAGCCGAACACACAAGCCGTCTTGGACTTATTGCCTTCTTCAATCCTCAAAAGGCGAAACACCTGCTACCGTAAAGAAGGTGACAAATCATCAACAACACCTTATGTTGCAGCGCTTTCAGTCATGTGGAGAAAGAGGAAGTGCAGAGTAGATATGGCGCCAACTAGCGGCCATCCACCCCCGCCTCTACACACCAACTACGCAAAACCTCTGATTTTAGAAGCAGAAGTGAGAATCGCAGGGAATCAGCTTTGTGTCCCAACAGGAATGGTTGTGCTGTCCTGCAACGCTGGTGCAAGAGTTCGGAATACGAATCGCAGAAACGCATAGGCTGGGCTGGAGAACTTGTGACTTGAGCCAAACGTGGCCACCACTTGTATATGTTACAAACATACATGTCGCTGTGGTACTATTCACAAAAAACAACAGCAATGAGTTCATAAACTGTCCAATTGGTTGCTGGAAGTCACCTCTGCGTCTGCCCTGCAAAGCATCCATCATTTGCCCCACAAGTCAAAAAAAAACAAAAAACCTTGGTATTGGGAGGGGGCCATAGCATATATATAATATATATGTATATACGTTGTATGTGTTTGCCATGTGTCAAAATCTCTTCGAAGCTAGTTGATTGTATGTGTCACTGTGGCAGTGAGGGCTATCACAAAGCCATAACTCACTTGCTGCTTGTCTGTCTGCGTGTGTGACGCTGCTTGGAGAAAACTAAATGGGCTTGGCTCAGCATTTGGGTGCAAGACGATTCGGCTAACACTGGGCAGGTCAGCAAAGGAACACATGACGAAAGCGCCGCATCAGCAAACAGTAATAGCATCGTGGCAAAAGCGCAGCTCGCTTCTCATAACTCATAACTGCCCAAAAGTCACCTTGTCCAATCACATCCAATCAGGCAATTTGAGCTTACCCAGCTGATCCATTTTTGAGGGGTGCGCCCGTCTCAGCAACCCAAACAATTGAGTCGCAACTTCTCAATTCCAAGCAGGAGGCCGACCCTCTGCCGCTGGTGATATCGATGTCTTGCATTTCAGCATAAAGTATCGCCACCGTGCTGCCTGCGGCCACTCGGGCGCTACCGTTTGCCAAGGCCTAGCATGGGGGGCGTGACTCAAAAGGAAACATGTTTAGAGAAAAAGTGCAAATCCGAAAAAGGATGAACGCGATATCATTAGCATAAGTACGTTCAAGGCAAAACTTAAAGAGTTGGCCCTAAAACTGTCCGTGACTCGTCTGCTAATCAAAAGCCTCCTCCAGCATCAGCAGGACCTCCACGTCTGCTTCCATCGGCTGGGCAGCAAATTTGCTTCGCATCTTGACAAGCTTTGCAGCGTCGGCAGCACGTACCATGAAGGATGCTGCATCTGCACCTTGTGTTCCATAGGCGGCAAATAAACAAGCAACCCAGTTGGCAACATGCTTTAGCTGCTGGACAACAGTCAAAGCGCTTAAAGCAGGATCTACAGTTTTATGGACAGCTACTCCCCTGCACAACGCAACCTGGTTACCTGCTCAAGGCACCCTGCGCCGTGCCCACGGACAACACCTCGCCCAACAAAGACCAGTGCCGGAACGGGCGTCCCTGCCGGAAGTAGAACTGCTTGTTAGCATCGTCCTGCCAGTTGCGAGGCTTCGCGCAATTGCATAAAGGAAATGGCCCGCAAAAGAACGTGGCCCTTGTTGCATTGAGACGCACCTCGATCATTGTTCTTACGCTTTGAAAGTCTAGGCCCGCTCCTGCTTCTTCGCCAAGTGCTCGCTCGCCGGCAGGCATGGAAAGGGCGGGAAGTCCACATGGTTGCGCAACGCGGGCTGAGAACAGTCCTGGCTATTCGCCAGCTCTGTGCAGGCAAATCCACAGCCGCAGGGATTTGACAGAGAGTGCCTCCTGGCCGGCAAATCGAACCGGGAGAGGTCACTCCCCTACTTAAGTCGACTCTCTAAAACGCATGATTGCCGCTCAAACAAAGCAACGTGCCCAAGCTTTGGTTTGGCAAACAAATCACAAAACAGGCTTGCCAGTTCCCAGGCAGATCAAGTCATCCATCCTCTTTTGCTTGAGCATGCCAAACATACAAGAAGTGATCTTAAGACCCGAGAAACATGCATGAAATTTGACTGGGACACTTTGGGCCAAGCTTCTGCTGACTGGCAGCTTCCCAGGCGAGTTTCTGGGGCAGAGGGCCTTCTCCGGCCGCCGCAGTCAGTTCTGCGACTTCTGGCACTTTTTCCTTCCGCGAGAAGAACTTGTTGCCTATCTGCTTGACTGGGGCGCTCCAAGCGCCAACCTCCTCCAGCTGCTTCCTCTGTGAGTTCAGCTCCTTGAAGGCTGGATGGTTTGCCAGTTTCGGTGGAAGCTTCAGTAGAAGTGAATCGGCAGCGTTCGCATCCTCTTGTACATCCTTCAGCTGGTTCCCTGCAAACACGGAGCTCTCGACAAGAACGCTACCAGCATAGTTGAAGCCAACCGACACCCCCGCCATGTTGTTGAGGAAGCGGCAACAGCTTACTCTGCAATCGGACTCGCCCTTTATCAATACGCCGATCCCAGGAAAGTTCGTCGTCATGTTGGGTCTCATATGTTCAAAAGTGCACCGGTGGAGAAATGCCGCGCAGCCTTCGTCAATGCTACAGCCCAAGCCTTGCCCTTGACGGACAGTACCTCGGTTGCGCTGGACGCTGCTAGTTTAAATCGTGCAGGGCACACAAAAAGCGTTCACAATAGGCTGTGCTTGTTTTATTTTGGGAATTGATTTTGTTTTCCGTCCTGGCTACTAAAATGCTGTAATTTACAGCATGTTCTCGCGAAATGTACGTATTTTGCGCTAGTCCGTCAACATCATCAGCATCGTTTTCAACATCCCCCGCATGTCCAGCCAACATCCCCAGCATCACCAGCAAATCGATGCATCTTCAGCATCATCAGTTCCTCTGCGGCAAGGCCTCATGGTAAAAGTGAGTATTCAAATACGGGCAAACTAATCCCTGTAAAACACCTAAAACGGGGTCCCCCATGATGATTGAAAAAGTGATGATTCAATTAGGGGTGCATTTCAATCGCTGCCAAAAATCCACAAAGTGATGATTCAATTAAAGGCGCAGGGGGGGTTGGGGGCGGCGGCAGCCCCCCCATGATGATCGAAAAGGTGATGATTCAATTAGAGCAAAAACTGAAAAATAGCGGGGGGTTGGGGGGGGGCGGCAGCCCCCCCCATGATGATTGAAAAAGTGATGGTTCAATTACCAGGAGCCTAAAAAAACCGATGAAAATGTCATACCTAAAAAACCGATGTTGTTTTGGAAAACACGATGTTTTCGGGAAACACCGCATTTTCGATTTCAAGCATTTTCCCATACATTCCTTCAACTCGTTATCCGTTCTCAAAAGGCCTCAAAAAGCATCATCTCAACCTCAGAACCTCCCATTGCCCTCCCCTTTTGCGCTCGTGACGAAATTAGCTTCGCATTCCGCCCCATTTTTAAAAAACAGTTTGAAAAGGTGTCACCTGGTCTTCAAACTGGTTCGGTATGACCTGGCGCCGGTCTTCAGGTGCCTGTTGCTGTGAAGGTACTTAAAGACTGAAGCCAGCTGCGCACTCTGGCTGTCAGGCTCATCAATGATTTTCTGAAAACATCGTGTTTTCAAGAAAAACATTGCGTTTTTGATAAAACCACCTTCTGAGGCCAAACGCTCATTTGGAGCAAAGGGTCAAAGGCAAGGGTCGGGAGTGGAATTCACACAGGCATCACCCATTAAGATTTCAACTGAGGGCAACGCTCTAAACTGCGTATGCTTCAAATTCGAAAAACACGATGTTTGCGACATTTTTACAGGTTCTTGAAGCCCCAGGTAGGGCCAAACAAAAACAAGCAGCGGGGGTTGGGGGGGGGGGGGGGGGCGGAGCCCCACCCATGATGATCGAAAAATTGGGAGTAAAGAATCCAAAAAGTAGCTGTCGCACGATGATCGAAAAAGTGATGATTCAATTAGGCGTGCACTTTAGTCGAAAGGGGGGTGGCGGGGGGCACCAGAGAGGAACTTGCGATGCTGAGGACGCAGGAAGCCAGCCTCCCCATGATGATTGAAACAGTGATGACTCAATTAGGGGTGCATTTCAATCGCTGCCAAAAATCCAAAAAGTGATGATTCAATTAAAGGCGCGGGGGGGTTGGGGGGGGCGGCAGCCCCTCCCATGATGATCGAAATAGTGATGTCAATTAGGTGCAAAAACTCTGAAAAATAGCGGGGGGGTTGGGGTGGGGGGGGGGGGGGGGGGGCGGCAGCCCTCCATGATGATTGAAAAAGTGATCCAAAAGAAAAGCAGCGGGGGGGTTGGGGGGGGGGGCTGCCCCCGCCGTGATGATTGGAAAAATGATGATTCAATTAAGGCAAAACAAATATATAAACAAGCAGCGGGGGGGGGGGGGTTGGGGGGGGCGGCAGCCCCCCCGTGATGATCGAAAAATTGGCAATAAAGAATCCAAAAAGCAGCTGTCGCGCGATGATCGAAAAAGTGATGATTCACTTAGGCGTGCATTAAGGGGGGTGGCGGGGGCGCCTAAAAAGTGATGATTCAATTAAAGGCGCGGGGAGATTGGGGGGGGCAAAGTCCCCCCCATGATGATCGAAAAAGTGATGATTCAATTAGGTGCAAAAACGGCAGCCCCCCCATGCGGGGGTCTGGGAGGGGGGGGCCCCCCATGATGATTGAAAAAGTGATCATATGTATATATATATATATATAAAAAAAGCAGCGAGCGGGTTGGGGGGGCGGCAGCCCCCCTCCCCATGATGATCGAAAAATTGAAAGAATCTGTCGCATGATGATCGAAAAAGTGATGATTCAATTTGGCGTGCAGTTTAAGCGAAAAGGGGGGTGGCGGGGGGCTTGCGATGCTGAGGATGCAGGAAGCCAAAAACCAACTGGGAAAGCAGAGGATGCGAAAAGCCAAAGCAAAAGCCACAAAGCCAAAACGCAGCGGAACTGGCAATGGAGAGGATGCGAAAAGAGAGGAACTGTGAATGCAGAGGATGCGAAATGAAAAGCCAACAAAAACCAACGGAAAAGCCACAAAAGCCAAAAAGCCACCCAAAAAAGACGGAAAATCCTTAAAACAATGGCTCTCCATAGGCTGTTCCTTCCAACCAAGAAGCAGTCCGACATGGTCAGCGTCAGTCGGCCATTCCAATCCAGCTCCTCTGCAACTGCGCGCGCTTGTTCAGAGATTTTGCGGCCACGGCGAATAGCCTCTTTCCGCTCTCCAGTGCCCCTCGCTCGTGGGTCCTCTGCGCAGTATCTTGCCTGTTGTCGGGTTTCTGCATTTTGCTGATCCCCACAAGCCAAGACCCCCTCGTCAAATGACATGTCTACAATCACATCGCGTAGCACCACACTTCGTGCGCCGCCATACGCCGAAACGCCTTGACGCACTCCTCAGCTTGTTTGAGATAGGGCACGGGGAAGCAGTTTGCATCTCATCACAAGACAAGCATCACGATCCGTACCTAGGACCAAAAGACCAACGGCACATGCTGAAAGCAAGGTGCGTCGAAATGTTGAATCTTGAACTTCCAGCTCGCCAGCGGCCCTTACCTCGATGGCTTGACGCAAGATGTTGCTAAAGTGGCAATCCTTGACAATGGCACGGCCACCCTCAGCGACCAAAATGCCCACCTCAGAGCTGTCCTGAGGAACAAGCAATCACGAGCTAAGAACGCAGCAAAACATAGGGCAAACAGCTTTTGAGAAGCCAAACCACTCTGATCTTCAGGGCCTGTCTCTCAACATTGTGCCAATAAAGTTTAACCGTGTCGTGATGCGGCATTAACTTTGGCCTCTCCTCTATCTTGCATCCGGACAAAGTCAGCCGAGATCTCGGCCCGTCAACACAGAAGGAAGCTCCTCCCTCAAAAGACGCTGCTTTGGAGTCTTTGATGCAGACATTGCCTTGGTCACAATTCAGGCAACCGCGCTTGGGAGATCACTGGCTGACAACCTCAAGCACAACCGCGCAGCTAGGCTTCTGCCACTTTCTGAAAACAAGAGGGTGCGTGGTGAAGGAATAGAGGAACCTCCTGTCATTTCTTACCAGGCCGCCTCCACCAAGCAGTCGCACCTTGCGCCCGGCGTCCGTCAAAAGAACGCAGAGATGATTCACTGTTCTTCACACACAAGTATTCTGCCACACCGCCGAGCGCAACTGCGCGCAAAAGAGAACACAACTCTTGTCGGCAGCATTTAATGACAGGCTGTGGCTTTGGGAGCCTTTTTCATGGATGTTTGAAGCTCATTTAACGCATAGGAAGCCGACACCACACAGGGAGCTCAGCCCATCCGCAACATCACCAACGTGCACAGAATCTGGCATCCCTCCCCATGATGCATTCGCAGCACTACCGGCAAATGCACGCATATGGATAGGCTTGGTGCAGGTTGGTTGAGGTCAGGTAGGCTTGATTTCGGTTGGATTTGGGATAGGCTGGGTTGGGGGCATGTTGGCCGAGTCTATATATTTGGGTGTATGGTGGGTTTGGTCTGAGTTAAGGGTGGTTTCAGTGGGAAATTTTAGAGCGAGTTCTCAGCGCAGAAGTTTGTTCTGGTTAAACATGTTTGTGTAATCCAGGTCTGCGCCAGTGTTGCGCGTGAACACAAATGTTCCAAGTGGCGCGTGTATGGGTTCCAGGTGAACACAAATGCGTACAAACATGTGCTTTCCAGACATTCACGCATGTGTGTTCCAGGTGCGTTCCAACTGGACACGTGTATGTGTGACAGGAGAATACATGTTTGTTATCAGATGAACACGTGTCTGCTCCGCACGCACATGCGTGTGTGTGTGTGTGTGTGTTCACGTGTACGCACATGTGCGTTCCAACTGGACACGTGTTTGTGTTCCAGGAACACATGTTTGTTATCAGACGAAGACGCGTGTGTGTGTGCGTGTGCGTGTTCCGGGTGTGCATATATATATATATATATATATGTGTGTGTGTGTGTGTTTGCGTGTACACATGTGTGTGTGTTCCACGTGTACACATATGTGTGTTCACGTGTGCACATATGCGTGTTCCACGTGTACACATTTGTGTGTTCACGTGTGCACACATGTGCGTTTTAACTGGACACGTGCATGTGTTCCAGGAGAGCAGATGTTTGTTATCAGATGAACACATGTCTGCTCCACACGCACGCATGTGCGCTCCAACTGGACACGTGTTTGTGTTTCAGGAGAACACATGTGTGTTATCAGATGAACGCGCGCGTGTGGGTCTGCTCCGCGTGCACGTGTGTGCGTGTTCACGTGTACACATATGTGTGTCCCACGTGTACACAGACGTGTGTTCACGTGTACACACTTGAAGTGTGTTCCAACTAGACACGTGTTTGTGTTCCAGGAGAGCACGTGTTTGTTATCAGGTAAATACTCGTGTGTGTCTGTGTTTCTGCGCACATAAATCTGAGCAGTACATCCCTTCTGCACATGTGTGTGTTCACGTGTGCGCATGTGTGTCCCCCACGTGTACCATGTGGAACACACACATGTGTACGACTGAAACAGTACACGCGGTGCGCGCAGATGTGTGCCCGTAAACACACACATATACATTCACCTGCGGCACACGCATACATGTGTTGAGCTGGAAAACCAACGTGCGCTTCTTGTGAAGCACACACATGTGTACACCCGGAACACACATATTGTGTTCACCTACGGCACGCTAATGTGTTCACGTGGAACACATATGTGTTCACTTGGAACACACTGAAACGCGTGTCCAGTTCAGACACACATGTGTGTACACGTGGGGCACACGTGTGTTCACCTGGAGCACAAACACGTGCAATTAGAGCACACATGTGTGTACATGTGGGACACACATATGTATACCACTGGAACACCGCGTGTGCGATTAAAGCACACAGGTGTGCACAAGTGGAACACACATATGTGCACGCGTGAGCAAACATATATGCTACACATGTGCGCACCTCGAAATCAATCTTTTCCGGAGGACATACATGTGTACACCTGGAGAGCAAAAGAAATGTTCACCTAGAACATAGTAATGTGTTCACGTGGAACACACATCTGTCCACCTGGAACACAAACACGTGTCCAGGTGGAACACACATGTGCGTACACGTGGAACGCACAAATATGTGTACACGTGAACACACATGTGCACACGTGAACACTCACATAAACGTGCACCCGGAGCACACACCAGTGCGCCCATCCGATAACAACGTGTGTTCTCCTGGACGCAAACACGTGTCCAATTGGAACACACACACACTCACACATGCGAGTGGAATCTGAAAACAGACATGTGTTACCTGGAAAAAATAGAGTGTCTGATAAGAACACACATGTGTGTACACGCGAACACACATATATGTACACACACATCTGTCTGAATTGCGCGGCGCCGTGCGGCGCCGTGCGGTGGCGTGCGGTGGCGTGTGGTGGCGTGCCGCGGCGTGTGGTGGCGTGCGATGGCGTGCGGCGGCGTGCGGTGGCGTGCGCGGGCGAGCGGGCGGCGGGCGGGCGGGCGTGCGTGGGTGTGTGTGTGTGTGAGAGCGTGTGTGTGTGCGTGTGTGTGTGCGTGTGCGCGTGCGCGCGTGTGCGCGGTTGTGCGCGCGCGCGTGTGCGTGCGCGCGCTTGCGCACGTGTGTTCACTTGTGTACACTTGTTTGCGCTTGTGTGCGCGTGTGTGCGTGTGTGTGCGTGTGTGTGCGCGCGTGCGTGCGTGCGTGCGTGCGTGCGTGCGCGCGCGCGCGCGCAGCCGCGTGCGCGTTTGTGCGCGTGCGCGTGCGCGTGTGCGCGTGCGCGTGCGTGCGTGCGCGTGCGCGTGCGCGTGCGTTGCGCGTGCGCGCGTGCGCGCGCGCGTGTGTGCGTGTGCGTGTGCGTGTGCGTGTGCGTGTGCGTGTGCGTGTGCGTGTGCGTGTGCGTGTGTGTGTGTCTGTGTATTTGTACGTGTATGTGTATGTGTATGTGTGTGTGTGGGTGCGTGTGTGCGTGCGTGCGTGCGTGCGTGCGTGCGTGCGTGCGTGCGTGCGTGCAGTGCATGCGTGCGTGCGTGCGTGCGCCCGCGCGCGTGCGTGCGTGCGTGCGTGGGTGGGTGGGTGGGTGTGTGTGTGATGTGTGTGCGTGTGTGGGTGTGTTGTGTGTTGTGTGTTGTGTGTTGTGTGTTGTGTGTTGTGTTCTTGTGTGTTGTGTGATGTGTGACGTGTGATGTGTGACGGCGTGACGTGTGACGTGTGACGTGCGACGTGCGACGTGCGACGTGTGACGTGTGACGTGTGACGTGTGACGTGTGACGTACGCCGTGCGACGTGCGACGTGTGACGTGTGTGATGTGTGATGTGTGATGTGCGATGTGTGATGTGTGATGTGTGATGTGTGTTGTGTGATGTGTGATGTGTGATGTGTGATGTGTGATGTGTGTTGTGTGATGTGTGATGTGTGATGTGTGATGTGTGATGTGTGTGTGTGTGTGCGTGTGTGCGTGCGTGCCTGCGTGCGTGCGTGTGTGTGCGTGTGTGCGCGTATGTGTGCGTGTGTGCGTGTGTGGGTGTGTGGGTGTGTGTGCGTGTGTGTGTGTGTGTGTGTGTGTGAGTGAGTGCGTGCGTGCGTGGGTGGGTGGGTGGGTGTGTGTGTGTGCGCAGTGGCAGAATACCCTGCCACCACAATTGCTTACGCAGGGGGGTCACCCGCAGTCACGACCCAACGAAGAGGGTCGTGACCTGCGCTGATATCTGGCCTGATCAGCCAGACGTACCTGCCGAGATGGTTGTGTTGTTCTGAATGTTCTTTTGGTCCCCCCCTGAACCGCCGTTGCTTCTGTGTGTCCCTGTTGAAGTAACTACAGGGAAGCCAAGTGCATTGCGAGCCGAAACTCATCGTACTCGAGACTTATCAGTTGTACTCGAGACTCGAGACTCATCAGTTGTACTCGAAAGGTTAGCGGAATTTCACGTTTAAGCAGGAACGAGGTTTCACTAAAGGGGAGACAGCCACCAGATCATAGTGACGTCTCACGGGCGCCTGGGCGCTGCCTGCTGATCTTTCATGCTTTGCCTTGCGTTGATTTGTACATGCCATGATGTTGCGTTGTCATGGAATTGATGCTTGTAGGTCTTAGTCTTTCTCAAGGTTTGCGCCATCACCTGGGTTCGCTGAGTCGTCATGTCTCGACGAGATGATCGTGACCGATCCAGAACTTGGCGCAGACGGGATAGGAGCCCATCTTCACCTCCTAGTAAAGCACGCAGACGTGATCACGAAGACAACTTGGTCTCGGCAAATCCGAGCTACAACGCATCCAACGCCTTTCCAATGACGCAGAGTAACTACCAGCCGAATCCCTCCTCATCGTCACTCTATCAGCATCCTACGGTCAACTACATGATGCCGTTTCCTCCTGAACCTACACCGGCGAAGACCGTGAAGCCCATGATGCCACCTCCTGGCCACGCACCAGTTCATCCTTCCCCAACAACGACATCGCCTGGATACCCAGCCACGCTGCCAGTGCAGCCTCAGAATGCATGGCTTACTCCACCGGAAGAGTGGCAACCTGGTGACGGCATGTTGGACATCAACCAGCTCTACTCTTTCAGCCTGCCCATGACGGTTGCCAACACCCCACACAATACGCAACGTGATATGTCGGGCATGGACATCCGGGATGTTCGCCTGGTTCAGGTCATTCACGGTGGCATCTCTAACTGGCTACTGAGACCATTTGCTCACGGGAGATTCGTGACGTGGGAAGGATTTCGTACCCGCACCAAGGCACCTGTTCGAAGTTGCTCCGTCGGTCTCAGCCACTCAACCTGCTTACCTTGGAAAAGGACCTAGCCAATTCGCTGGGACTCAACATTGACGACTTCAATCTGCGGATCAAGGTTCACGATCACTTGGGAAATCTGGTACTTCAGTT